GCAGGACGTTCAGCATGTGTGTGATGTCAGCTGGAAACAGGGAGGAGGAACCCATCACATCCCATTTATGAGTGTGTGCGGGTCTGTCCCCTGACAGAACAAGCCTGTTCATTGACCCCCTGGTTGTAGATGCTTGCTATGAAGATGATAGGAGGGTGAGAGTCTTTTGAAAAGTAGAAAATTGCATCACTTTTTTCTCTTCTCTACTGCTCTCTTCTTTCCCTTGTTCACTTATTCACTAATCCCTAAATAATAGACCCCCAGGAGTAAATTGAGATTTCAGACACTTCTGAATCATTGTAATTTTGTGTAATCACTGACAGGTGTAGAGTTGCATTACTGTTATTTTTGCATCTATAAAATGCAACATATTGTATCGTGGGCTGTCTGTAGCATGGACACTACTGCTTTCATTGTGTTGTGGGATTTCTTTAGGACACTGTATGCAACATAGACTTTATACTCAAAAGTCAGACACTAAAATAAAATGGCAGTAAAGGTAGAGATTTCAGACAGCCGGTATGTAAATCTATATATTTTTTTACAGTTCAAAGGTTGAGGTAATCAGTTTTGAACATTTACATAACTTGCATTTTTTTCTTTTTGCTTGTTGTGTGTCTTGATGCTGAGGCTTGCTGCTGAAACCTAATCCCAGTTTCGTCACATGAATAAGTAAAAAGTTTAATCTTGTCATAGGTGAAGAGAAGAGAAGAGAAAGCTGTTTTTAATGCTGCTACAAAAGAAGAAACGGCTAAATCCTGGCATTTTATGTCTTCCTTTGCACCATTCTACATGTTTGCTAACTTATCTGTCTGTCTGTCTCTTCCCTTCTCCATCTATTAGAGTCAAATCTCTGTCTAAATGGGCATCTATTGTATCCTGCTTCTCCCCCCCTCTATTCATCACACTACCACACGCACATACACACTCCCTCTGAGGGGGCCCCTTAACCAGGCTCTCCATATGCCTGACCCCCACCTCCTTTCTCCTCCTCCTCCTCCTTTTTTCCACAACCCCCTTCTTCTCTTCCCATCTCTTGCTCACACTCTGGCTTCTGCTCTGTTGCTGCTGCTGCTGCCCCTCGCTGCCATCTGCTACAGGACAACAGAGGCTGAAAGAGGGAGGAAGAGAGAGGAAAAAGTGTGAGTGAAAAGAGGAAGACAGGATGGAAGAAGAGACTGAGGGGAAAGTGGAGAAAGGGAGAGATAAAAGATTAAGAGAGAACGAGGAAAAGAATAGATGTGGACACAATACAGCAAGAGACTAGAGAGGCTGTCCATCTGCTCGCCCCCCCGCCTCCCCTCCCCTCCTGACACACAGCCTCACACACACCACAAAGAGAGTATTTAACCTCACACACACATGGAAAGAGAGGGAGACAGAGAGACAGAAAGCAGCCCGGCCTCTCTCTTTAACCCGTTCCTCTCCAGTAAGCCTGCCTGTATTAGACCCTTGGGGGGGCCGGTGAACGGAGGTGATGGGTGGATGGAGGGAAAGGATGTAGGGGGGGAGCAGGGGGCAGAGGGAAATGGGGGAGGGGGATATGATTGAGGAACAGAGCATAGGGGATGAAAGGTTGAAACTGATATGAATCAACACCAACACATCCCGCTCCCCTCCCCAATTCTCAACCCTCAATAGAGGCCAGCTTGCCGCCCCTGTCACTATGACAACCTCTGTCAATCACACTAGCAGTCGGATTCCAAAGTGGTGCTGAATTGGGAATGGCTGCCCAAACATCAGAGTGTAGGGCTGAGCTCTCTGAAACATTTTTGGTGGTAAATATGCTCTTCATACTTAATTTAGAGAAAGCTGACAGGAAGTCAGACAGATTCTTAATCTATGCTGTGGTAAGAAAACATCCTGCGTCAACTAGCCGAAACCATGGCTGTGGATGATGTCAAAGTCTGCTGATGACAAAGCAACACCCACATTTTCTTTCCAGTTTGGCTGCAATTTCATATTTGAATCACTATTCAGACTCTGAGCATGCTGTGGCAGAGTGGGTGGTGATTTCAGTCAATTTTCTAGCTGTCTGAAAAGCCAGACAGACTACCAGTGGTTACTAGTAAAATAAACAATATAAAATAACAATCAAAAATTTGCGTTAAAACCACAAGACTGAACCAGAAGAGCACAAAGCACGGCCCAGCATCATGTGGATAAGATCACCCCTTTACTGATGCTGGGACTGTAGAAGTCTTTGGCACTGAGATGGCTGTCAGGTTTGGATACACACACCACTGTGTAGGTCAACACACAGCAAACACTAGATTCCCCCAAGGACCTGTACGAACACAGTGTTGCACACACCAAACACTGCTGCAGTGTGTAAAGTGTGTGATGATGGAGGGGGGTGAAGGGGTGTGACCCACAAGAGCTGATTTCATTAAAGGAGAGGAGAGAGGACAGGTCTCTATGTATATGACCACAAATGGAGAGAGCAGACACCAGCTGTCACATGCTTATTTCAGCCCTATTCTCAGCTCCTATTTGAGTGTGTGTGTGTGTGTGAGTGTGTGTGTGTGTGTTGTGTGCTTGTGTTGTGTCACTGTGTGATCTCAGCTAGCTATGACTGGTTTCAATTACACAGCAAACTTTGACCCTGTGTAACCAAGCAGGGAAAGGAGCTTCTGACAGAGAGGTACAGAAAGAGGTGGAGTGTATGAGAGGGGGAGTGGGATGTTGAGACAGGACAAAGCCACAGGAGTTTTCCGCTCAGTGAAAATTCCAAAAGCTCACTGTACATTGCATGACACATTACACATCTACTTAAAAATGTGAAACCATATAGGTGGCAGTAGGTATAAGGATGGTGAGTTACCCTTTTTCTGGGGGGTCCTCGTTCTTCATCCTTTGGGCCTCGCCCTACTCCTGCACCGCCTCCTGCCCCGCCTCCTGTTCGTCCCTGCCGTCCCCCTTTGCCCTCTCCAACTGGAGGCCTGATGGTCATCCTGATCTCTGGTGGGCAAATGTAGTTCTCAAGGCTCTTTGGGGGCTTCTTGGTGCGCTTGGTGGTCTGGATTTTCAGCTTTAGACTTCCTTCCTGGAAGCTCGCTTCCTTAATGGAGAACTCCTGTTCCTCCAGAAGCCCCTCCCCCTGCTCCTCTAGCCCCTCGCCTTCACTGATGGCACCGTTAATCACATCATCACTGCGCGCCAAACCGATGCCCCCTGCTCCTTCCTGTTCCTCTTCATTTGGCCCCACCCTGCCTCCTTGTAACTCCGCCTCTTTGGGTCGGGCCGAGCCAACGAGATCCCTTGGCTCCATCCACGCTCCCGCCAGAGCCAGTCAGGACCGCGGAAGCTGTGGCAGCCAACCAATAGGAATATAAAGAACAGTAGTCTGTCGGGTTGGCTGGTTGTTGGCAATCAGCTACTGGGGTTGGGTTAGTTGTCCCACAGGAACACAGCGAAGCCAGGGACAGTCTGCAGAGAGAGCAGGTGAAGGATATGATTAGTAAGAGAAGGGCAACTGAAACCGAGTCCTGTCATCCCCACAGCTTCCATTCCAGCCCTGCTTCTTAGCGCAGGGCTGTCTGCTGTCATCAACATCATTAGCTCCCTGTTATGTATGAAGACAAGCACACAAGCTCATCACAGAGCTATCGAGGCACACTGCTACGCTCTCATTTGCATTTTGTACCTCACATAAACAAACATTTTTTCACACTAGCCTCCCTCTCCCTACCCTCTTCTTTACTCACTCACTAATCTTCTTTCCCTTGTTTCATCCCTTGTTCTATCCTCACGACAGATCTGAAGCGCAGCCGTGCAGACATTAGAGTGATCAGTACAAATTAAGATTCTTCTCTACTCTAAAACCAGGCTGAAGTTAGCCTGAGGACACAAGACAGAAATTTTTAAAAGTTGACTTTTTTTTTAACCAGAGCGTGGAAGGAGAGAGGGAATCACACAGGAGGCAAAGGGAAGGAGAAAGACGGACTGAAGGAATCTAAATTCTTTCCCCAGATGTGGTTTACGAGCAGGCCTGGAAAAACCAGCGCCTGAACAGTTTTACACACGCATGCAGTGGCACTGCTACACACATGCATGAGAAACTCCATACACTTATGCACATAACTACACATACAAATGACAGTGTTGGTGTCACCGAGTAGACTTTCTGCATCCCTGCTGCTATTTCTGCTCTCTAGAGAAAAGGCTGCAGTAGCCATTTCTCAGAGGATTCATGTTTTCCTTTTTGGATCATTGCACACCCAGGCACAGATATATATTACATACTTATACGAACACACACGTATGCACTTACCGGGGCTTACTTACACCCAGGCATATAAACAGAAAGCAATCAAAACAAACACTGGACTACACTTCACTCCAGCGGCAGAGAATCCCATCAGTCAATATGACATGAGGCATGACTGAGCTGGATGTGGGGAATGCTGCCTCACACACTAAGCTCAGACTGACACCACTTACACTGATGTGAACCCAGACTAGACCACTACCTGAGGACACGACTTGAGTAAAAGCTTACTGCTTGCTACAGACTTAAGATGATAAGAGAGCACAAAAGGTTTACAGCATATACTGAGCCTTACCCAGCCCCTAACCTCTGCATGGTTACTGTAGGCGTTTTACACTGTGCATGCTTCCTCTGTGCGCTCCTCTGTACCACCCCTCACTACTGTACTAACAGCTGATCCCCATCATAATACCCAACAGGCCTCACAGCACATAATCATAATCCACAGCAGTATTTCAACAAACTTGTCAGGTTAAGACTGAACACAAACAGCCTCCAACTCTGAGACCAAAGCCTGTGGTTTGTCCTTTTTCTACTGCATTTGCTAGATTAAATAAAAATGAAAAGGCCTGTTTTTAGTAACTTTCTTTTTGGCAGTAACATTTGCCAATCTGAAACCACAGTCTTTGAAAACTGACTCATAAGGGTCACTAATGTATGTTCTACTAACGTCATGGTGGTTAAATATGATAAACTTAAAGCACCATAACAGTGTGGCCGACCTTATACTCATTTTACAAAGCATAGATTGATTTCCTGCCTGATTTCCTTCCTGGACGTCATTGATTTTGTCATTGATTCATTCATTAAGTGCACTAAGAAAAGGAACTTGCAAAAGTAACTTGAGATAGGCAGTCCAGTATCACACAGAAAGTCTGCTTTAGTTTTGTGTCATAGTCACTTTCACTTGGTGAGATTTTCACGTTAGCTGCAAAGCAGCAACCTATTCAACAGAAGAAACCACCACATTCCCATGATCTTTTTTTACACTGTAATTAATTGTCTATTGAATTTGAATTCCAAACACCAAGACTTATGATTGCAGTGTTTTTGGCAGTTTGAATTCTTTAGTGTCAAAGTCACCTAAAAGTCTTTAAAATAAGTTTTAAATATTTTAAGTTTTACAGGGACAACCAAAAAGATAGTGAGTCCAGACTCAGTCCCAGCCTGGTCTTACTGTGCCCACATGACACCGTTTGGTCCTCCAGGAACCTTTCAGTCACTAATGTCAGCTTGGTGACTCGTCCTAATGGCATGTGTGACAGCTATCCTGGCTGTCATGTGACTGAGCACAATGACAGGAAAAAGAGCCAGCTGCCAACTACAACATCACACACACACATATGCAGTACACACATCAAAAAGGGCCTTGTCCGCTCTTGGTTTTGCTCTTCAGACTCCCAGTATGACAACAAAATGGCATCATGCATCAGTACAATTTTCATCCTGGGCCATTACTGTGTAAACTACTTAGCTGGGTCATGACTATTCCTCCTCCCTCCCTGCTTGGTGCCCTAAGCTGTGTTAGTTCTCTGTTACTGGCAGGCAGGGTGAGTTTATGTAAGACTGACCCCTCCTCTGGCCTCCCTTTCCTAGCTAGCCTCAGTCTACATCTCCTCTCTCTCTTACACACACTCACACACACACACACACCTCGACTAGCCTCAGACAGCAGGGTGATTGTGAGAGGCCAGACACACAGCATAAATAGCTTTATTATGTTCTCAAAACTGCCACCGCTAACCCACTTCCCTCTCAAATAGCATAAGGTCATTCCCTGTGCTGGATGCAAAAGGCTGTGAATGAGCCACTCTGCCAACATTTTACCTTGTCCTTTGAAAACAATTATGATAAAGCATTAATAATGGAATGCAAATGGATAGAACATAAATGGTGAATGATACAGTCACACTGACAAAAACATAAGTAGAAAGAGTCTGAGTGTGAGTGAGAAACACAGAGGGAGGGAGAGAGAGATGGCTGCAGAAACACAACCTTTTAAGGCTGCATACCCAGCAGCCCAGTGCCTGAGGTGGACTCACAAATAACTCATACACACATGCAGACAGATGCGTGTGCACATGTACACACTTGGCCACACATTCACACAAGCACGAGCACACCAAATGCCCATGCGATTGCACAAGGTGAAGAGTGTTTTTTCTTCTTCTTCTTTTCTTTGATGTGAGAGTGTATTAGAGGCTTGGCCATCCCTGGCTGTAGATGAGTATCTCAGAGGAATGATGAACATTGTCTGTCTGCCATTTTCATTTTTCATTTACTTCTTTTATTCCAGCTCTCTAGTGAAGGGTCAATCTTGTAAACCGGTGTTTCACGAAGGATCTAATCTTCAGTTAGAGACAAATCAAAAGGAATGGCCCCAGCTTTCTAGTCCTTCCAAATCCAGTGAGCGCAAGCATGAGGCTTTCAAACCAGAAGTCTATTAGTCCTCTGTCTCAGAACAGAGCAAGCTGAAGGAAGCCTGTCCATATCAAAAAGCATAGTCTGTTTTTTCAAGTGAACATTGAAAACATCTATTTGGATATGAAATACAAAATAGAACCCTCTCTCTCCCCACTTCATAAGGGATGGCACAAGCATGTGTTCAGTTAGAAAGACAACCATAAAGTGCCATGTGTGGGACAGCCATAATAGAAAACGATGGCTTCGCAGCTGCTCCATGCAGTCCTGCATGCACACACTCCTCTCTGCCTGGTAGCACTAAAACCATCCTCACCTAACTGCTTTGCAGAAGCAGATGAATGTTAAACCATTTTAACTGCAGCAGAAGCCACAAAATGGCTGTCTGAAAAACACCTCCCCTACTCCCCAACTGTCTCCCTCCTTCCCCTCACCTCACTCCCCACCAACCTCTGTTTTCTCCCCTCTTCTCTGAGCTACCTCTTTCCTTTACCCTCCACTGGTTTTTCTCCCTCCCTCCCTTTTTCTGTGTGCTCTGCCAAAAGGTGCTCCAGTGCTGATATTCTGTTAAGAGAGCCTGCCAACAGTTAGATTTGTCCTTGGATCCAATTCATATTCCCACCTCCCCCTTTGTGAATCTGTTTCGACCCAAGGTGTCCAGCGAAGAAGGGGATACACCTAATCGATTTCTCGTGCTTTAATTTTAAGGTGGCATGGGCATTTCATTATCTAATAGGTGGTTTACTAGTCCGCGTCATATGTTTACACCACAAAAACGCTGCAGGAGTTTCAGCTCCCCCAAACCTGTTAACAAGACAAGAGTGATGGTTCCATCTGAGTCTGGATCACTTCTATTATCAACCCCTCAACACTGCATCTTTCCACCTAATCACGCACTTCTCTTACAATTGCCTCTCCTCTCACAGTCCTTGTTCTTCTCTTTTATCCAGTGCCCATTTGCTCCCCTTCATTCCCATATATCCTAGAAGCCCGACAATTTCTCCACACTTTCACTGACTCATTCATGCTTGTCTGTTTGTCTTCTGGTGCTATGGCTGTGACTGAGGTTTCTGGGGGCTGCTGATAACAGCGGCATACCACCATTCATTTTCAGCCAAAGCATGGCCATCACGTTTGGCTAAACACTCCCTCTGATGCCCACCTCCAAAGCCATGTGAACCTGGTCAGCTATTAATAAATGAATCTAGAGTGGAGGAGCGCCACTGGATGCACTCCTGAAGCCACATTTGTATGGATACTGGTATCTCTTAATTGTCGTTATGGTGGCATGTGTGTGAACCATTAAACACACTCTCATGTGTGCCTCAACTTGCAACGTGCAGCACCACTCATGCATGAGACATTTATCCCTCTCCAGCATCTGTAACTCCACCAGAAGGAGCAGAAATCCCACATCCAGGCAAAAAAACTTCAAGAATTCTACAGTTAAATGTGACATAGCTGATGACAGACTGAAAGAGTGACAACCATCTGCTTGCTGCATGTCACAGACTGTGATGCTATGCCATGGACTGTCAGTGTCAGTGAAGATGCAGGAGGTCCACCCTAGTAAAAAAACATCTCAACCGAGAGTGTGAACAGCTCTGGTTGAGCCGCTCCTTGATCCATGTTTGATGGACACTTCAATCACTGACTGAATCAACTGCTTTATCTTACAACCACCTAATTACAAAGGTATAATGGATTGAGGCACTCAGTGGTACAGCTTTGTTTGGGGTAGTCCATGGGTACGTGCGTGAATGTGCGCGTTGTGAGTTGTGAGTGCCTGCGTGCGTGCGTTAGTCGAATTTGTTGGCATGCGACTACAAGCAATGTCACATATTTCATGTCATTTAATGAACAAAACGGCACAGGCGCAGTGCATTGCGTTATAGGCTGAGTTATAATCAAACCAGCAAAAGCAGACACACGCACAGCAGCTTAAAACATTAACATGAACCCATCTGCAGGAAAGGTGTATTCAGGTGTGGAATGTGGCCGGCGGACCGAGGCTACTTACCCATGTCTAATATTGTGACACACTCGGCTCTAACGTGTAAATATTTTATCACGATCATTTACAGCCCATTTAGACACGTTTTATACAAGCGAAGGATGGGATGACAGCCTCCTGGGGAGCTGTCAAACGGTGCTGGGATATATGTATATATCTTTTTGACAGAAACCCCCGAGGAAAATGGCGTCAATGGTGCTTTGGAAAGAAAAAAAGCGAAAACAGGATTTGCAGACGATCTGATGACAGAAGCAAGGTAGCTGCACAGGAAAAAATCCAGTCAGAAACTTGGAGCTTATGTTCAATCCCTCACAGAAATAAGATCGTTACAGGCTCTTGCAGATCGACTTGTGTGGTTGAGATCCGCGGCGGTGCAGAGTGCGTCTCCGATACCTTGCTGGATCGCTGGTCACTCGGGGAGCTGCACAGTGCTGAGATCCCTCGTAAATCCGCTACTCGGTTGGCAGGGGAGGAGGGGGAGTAGGACTATTACTGCAGTCAAAACAAGCCCGCACCCGACCACAAGCCCAAATCCAGCGGGGAAATGTTCAGCGACAAAACCGCGATTTCAGATGTCAGTGAAGACAGAGGAGCCGACGCAGGAGACAGGGTCGTGTATGGTCGCCGATGGCATCGGATCAGGGTTTTCTGTGCGTGTGCGCCTCTGTGATTTTCCGATCGGTGAATGTCAGGTCCCGCAGCCTGGTGTCTGGTAATGATCTCACCCAGCAGACTGAAAGCTGTGGCCGAGCAGAGCACTGGAGAGAGAAGAGAGAGGAGAGGAGGAGCGACATCGCCTCCACCTGGCAGCAGACACGCTCAGCGTGCGTCCCTGTGCAACCTCCCCATAATTCCCAGGGCCTTCTCTTGTGGGACTCACACGGGCATGGGGTTATTTTAATGTGGCTTAATGCAAAGTAGGAAAGCAATATCTGGCAAAAGGCCTGTTGTTTTGACTGAGTCCGTGATGTAAGAAGAGAAATGATTAGCACTTTCGAAAGGTTCAGATATGGACCTGCATAGGTATGAACTGCTTGGTCGCTCCCTAAATCTTTTGTCAAATTAACCAGACTGAATCCCACCAGAAAGTCTTTTTGGCCATCCATGGTCCTTTTTGGTAAAGTTCCAGGAAAAATTGGAATAATTCAGTGATACTGTATTAATTAACCAGGAAATTGCCTGATTATTAATCAGTATAACAAAACAAATGATTTAAAAATAGATATACAGTGGATTAAAATCTTTAAAATACTGTAAAGGAATTTCATAAATGGACAAATAAAATCCTAAGATAAAAGTGATGATCAGTATATAGCCTCTCCTATTGCAACTCATTCAAAAAGTTTAGAAACTTTGTAACCAGCTTTCCTCCAATTAAAAGAGAATAGCTTTAAAATATAAGCAAGGATATTATCAGCAATTATTATCTGCAATAGGCAGCCATGCAGCCAAACATCTACTGAGTCACAACTAAATACATATATTGTATCAGATGTTCTTGCACATCTCCGGGGGAGTTTTGAAACATGAAACATAAACCTGTGGGCAGCCTAAGAATAAGGTTTATCACCTGTGTCTTCTTAGGAAATAGTTTGCCAATAAACCACAACTACCAGAATGACTTGAAAGTATGGTATTTGATAAGCCCAGGATAATTAAGTACAACTGAATGTGTGTTCAGCGAGACAAACGGTATCATAAACACTGGCCAGCACATTTACTTCAGAGGAAGACAAGGTGGGTGTGTACATGGGGTTCGGTGGGTGAAGGGTGAAGGAAGACAGATTAAAGTGTGTGTCTGTGTGTGCTGGTGCTTTCCCCTCAGTATGTCAAAATACAGCAGAGTGGAAAATCCACATCATCAATTCATGAAAAAGCCACAGTTGTTCCATTAATTTATCATTTTCAGAATGTACGCTTGTATTGTACCTCCATGCAAAACTTGACCTTCCCTGTATGGAAACCATCCTTTAACATTAGCAAGCAATGCAAATGATGTCAGATGACCTTTCTCTTAGTGTCCCACAGTCACCAGTTACTCATCTCTGGTACATCTGTGTGTATGTGTCTCTGAGTGTGTGTGTGTTCAGAGCACCCAGTGGGAGGTATTTCATTAGCCAGGACAGTATTTGTGATTGTGCACTCAGTAGCATGAAAGTTGTAGTTAAAAATCTGCAGTGCAAACAACGGTTTGGGTGTTGTTGCTTTTCACTTCCCCTGTGGTGGCACATTGGCTAGATTCACAAATATGTGTGTATGTGTGTGTTTGTGCATGTGAGTATGGGTAGAGTCTCTGTTTCATTGGGAGTGTTTTCATAACAATGTCACAGCTCTTTATTGCTCATTGCTCATTTTTGTACTTATCATACAGTGTTGTCCTACTTTAGTTTACTTATGTCTTTATGAGGGCCAGATGTTTTTGTTTTTGAATGATAGTATATAGATAAAAAATGTTTCAAAGTAACACCATTATTATTAGTCTTTGCATTTATGTTAATTCTCTTTTTTTCCACGATGTATCTAAAGGGTGTAGGCTTCGCTTTAAAATTTGGCTCTGGTTTATTGTTATGATTTATAAAGCTATGTTTAAATTTGAATTCCAATAAGGGTTGATTTTAGGGGTTTGGAGAAGAGAAATCCAATTTGACTCCAAAAATACCTTTAAAGACCTCATAAAAATAGAATAAGAAATGTGCGTGTATATATGTGTTCGTGTGTGTCTATTGATTTGGGATGTGTGCAAGAATACAAAGAGACCCCTGAGAGTGAGGGGTCAACAGCTGCTCCCCAACAACCAATCAATTGCAGTGTATCAGTAAACATTATGCACACACACACACACACACGAACACACACACACGAACACATACAGAGGCACTCTGTTCTCAGATCTGTTGCCATGGATACCAGATACAGGCAGCCAAGAGGGAGCAGTTTTCCAGCTTAAACTGTAAATATTGAATTATGATGGGGAGGAAAGAGACAGCAGTGCAGGGCAACGTTCATGCCTGAATGATCTAAATATCTAGATAATCCTTTCATCTCTATTCACCGCTACAGGAAATCTGGAACATCATTCATGTTCATCAAGTTCAACATAAAAAGATCAATCTGTCTTCCTGAACCAGTCATTTATGTAACTCTCTATTACAGATTGAGAGCTGCCCCCATTCCTTCATCTCTCCCTGCCTTTTTGTCTGGAAGATCTACATTCCCTGAAGTGGGACGCACAGTAAATGCTTCCCTATGCCTAATTTGCAAAGACATAAAAGTGAATCTCATTCAAACCACTTTACCAAATGCTACAGCTTTTATGTGGCAGCAGCTCCTCTGTGGTTTCATCGATGGGGAAAGAGGAGTGATGAGATGGAGAGGTGTAGAAGGAGAAAAATCAGTTCACAATTAATAAGTGCTATGGCAAATCTTTTAAGTGGGGGGGTCACTGGAGAGAAAAGACTGAGAGAGGAACCAAAGAGAGACCCTGAAGGTCACTGTCAGTAATTGTTTGCAGTTTCTATGAATAATATAAGCAGCAGAGTCTGTTGAGCTAAAATAGTAATAACACAATGATATTGGTAACAAAGCTAGAGCAGTTGACTGCATCGGGGGACGTGCTAACCTTGAGCTGACATTGCAAGCAGGAGAGACTCACATTCAATCAATGAAGGTTTTTTTCTCAGGGAGTCCGCTAATCTCATAGGGCAGCACAGGGTTCATCAGAGTGGAGACACCTCTGGGACTGACAGAGGCAGTGAGGTTGGCTGAGGGAGAGAGTGGGAGTGTGTCGATGTGTGTGTGCAGTAGACAAGGTCTTCGCGTGTGAAGACAGTCAGTGAACCATGCAAGGAACAAGCGGTTATGTGTTATAATGTGCGTGTGTTGCACGTGTGTGACAATAGTGTATCTGCCTGTGTGTTTGGTGGAAGAAGTGAGGGCCATACTGATGGAGTGAGAAGTTAATGGGATGTGTGACAAGGCTGATTACTGAGGCCTCAGTGATCTGGCTGGGTTAATGAAGTAAATGACTTCTTGAATAACAGACCACTGGGGCTATCTTCAGCTCCTGATCCACTCTGATAAACCAGACTGGCCTTCTCTTCCCCCTCATTCACCTTGCAATAATATCTGGCTTAAACACCCACACTGAGAGAGTCATGGGTTTGAATCCATCCTGCAAATGCTTTTGCATTTCTATCAAATTAGGCAGAAACTAAACGTATAAGCTTCGTGCAGAAATTCATTAAAACATAGCTGCTCAGTGCACAGTGCTCACTCTCTGGGGGACAAATGTGGCCACCTGCAGTTTGCACATGCATACAATGCTACACACAAACACAAACATAGGCAAAGAAAGACTTATTTTAAGACTTTGTTCTCCATTTGGGGTTGAGGTAGAGATTCTCCTAATGAGAGTGCTAATGATGTCTGAGAGGAGATGCAGCTCAGAACAAAACGCAGATGGAAGCTCAGACAACAACAAAGACGGCCCTAAATGTTGTTGACTGTGGACTCCCTGCTGGCTCTGTGTATGTGAAGAGATGACACTGTGCCCATCCCCCTGCCACTTATAGGAGCATTATCATAATGTTGTCTCTGTATGAGCCGAGCTATCAAGTGAGCTCATCTTGAAGTCCTCCACAAGCCCCGGTGTGTGGTGATGCTTCGGATGCTGGGGGTAGTCAGTAGAGACCAAAAACAAAAACACATTCCACCCCAATATTTATTCTGACTGACAGTTGTGGGATCTAAAAGGCAGTGTAGGACTGACAGCAACAATTTGATGGTTCTCTGTGTTGGATTTAAACAAATGACAGCAATGAAGATAATGATTGTCCTTCTGTTTGTCCTTCTACTTTCTCACTGTATTGTCACTACAGACTTGGGTGAAGTAAATCAGTATGTGGGCTATGTGCGGCTGCAGTAAGTCAGTAGTTTAATAACTTCAGTTTCAAATCCTGGCTATATGCTAATACTGTATTATGAAAGAAGATTTAAAAAACAGATTAATGGCAACATACTCTATATTAGACACATGAATAATAAATAATTAGTTCTCAGAAACCCATTGTTTGTCACGGTATGTGTGAAACTTCACACCTCAAACATCTACCCTACAGCATCCTGTTGTGTCATATATAACTGTGGTCAGATACAGCTGCATCTGAATGTGTGTGTGTGTGTGTGTGTGTGCACGAGCGTCTTTGTGTGTGTGGGCAGAGTCAGAAACAGAAAAAAAGAGGAAAACTCCCCAGATGAGAGAAGGCTGCCACTTTGCCACTTCCCCTGAGACTCTGAGTAAAATGAAGACAGAAACATACAACAGGTGTATGATACAGCACTGACTGTGATAGCGCTGAATCATTCGTCAATCAAAGTTCATTTTAAACGTCATCAGTGGTTCCAGTGTAATGATCTAATATGTTTTCTCTCACAAATTGCTTTTTCCTCTTAGATGCTAATGGTTTTCATTACACAAACCTGATTGTCACTTGTGGCTTTGTGTGACAGAAGCTGCACTAGGCAGGATTATGTAAAGAGGAAATGTAAAAAAATGTTATGGTGATCATAAATTATATCCTCTTCACTCTCTTTCAAAGACAATTAGCCAGAAGATTAAAGAACTTTACAATCAGCGCACAGTGCTCAAAAGAAGAATGAGGTGGGACACAAAAAAGACACCTGGCCTGTGTTTGTTGTTTACTGTACACTGTGTGAATACTGTCCCATATGAAGCTGCTTCCCACCAGCAGGATGTGGTAGAGTGACACGTCCTCGCTCAACAACACCGACTGCCTACAAATTTGATAAACAGCCTTGCGGTTTCACTCTCCTCTTGCCTGTCAAACAGAGGTACACACATCCATACACACACAGGCATACACCAGCTCTACAAGAATCACCATCTGTTAATGTGACATATAACTGGAGTGAGTTGTTCTGCATAATGTTACCTGTGGTTTCATTTAGATTTACTATGACAAACTATACAAATGCCACCAGAATCACTTATGTCTCTATAACTCAGTTGCTGCTCTTCTGCATCTGCAGCCTTACAGAAAGACTGACGGGAATAAGCACAAGAATACCCTCAAATCGTATCAGAATTAGAGGCGGGCGTCAATATGTCACATTTGTTTTAAAGAAAGTGATGTAAGTGGTTCTGATTAATGTTTGCCACTGGACTGTTATGATCCACATATAAAGCCCCAAATATTGCTGATACAATGTCAGTAAAGACTTGCACTAACTGCTGGAGACATATCTTTGTTTCTCTTCTCTTCTCTCCTCTGCATGCTTGCATGGGCACATACGGTCCTGTCAGTCACATCTGTGAGCTGTCAGGATATGAATGTGTATGCATCTCAGGGTAGAATGAGGGGTGTATTAGGCCTGCTGATCCTTCACACTCCTCTTGTCAAACTTAACATGAAAATGAAAGTGTATGCATGTGTGTGTGTGTGTGTGTGTGTGTGTGTGTGTGTGTGTGTGTGTGTGCGCGTGTGTGTGTGAGACGGGGGGGGGGGGATGGG